AAGTCTATAAATAGCTTTGGTATATATTAGATTTAAGCATTACTTGGAATTTTTGTACTCTATGTAATCTTAGTGAAATAAGGACTTTTTAATATTAAACTACTTTCTTGTTGTTTAGTTTTATCTTTCTTTTTTCCCCTTTTAATTTTTATGTTTTAGGGTTTGGGGACTGGAGTTAAACAAAGACAGAGATGTTGAAAGGATCCATGGCAGTGGAGTTAACACCCTTGATATTGAACCTATTGAAGGAAGATAGTAAGTTTATTATACAATTATTATTTTTCTAAGTGAGATCCAGTAAAATGTTGCTTTCAGATTAATTTTATAAAGTTTTATAAAAATTAATAATTCTTAATTATAGCATTTGCAATCTGACATTATTAATTTCAAATAAATACAGAATATTGAACCTATAAAATGCTGCCAAATAAATACTTCCAAACTACTAGATTAGAAATATATTTGTCGTTAAATCAACATTGAACTTCTTTTGGATGCAGAGAGCATGTAAGTGCTAGAGTATGTCTTTAGGTGCTGTTTCAAAACATAGTTGTTACTCTCAAGGAGTCTAGTAGGAAAACAGATACAGAAAGCAGAAGTGTATTTTGGAGAATAAAGTTTGAAGCACACTAAACTTGTGTTTGAGTTCCTCCTGGCTTTACATTTACTGGCTATGTGGCTTTGAGCAATTATCTAACCTTTCTAACTCTCAGTAGCTACACAATGGGAACAACAATACCTAACTAACAAGTTTGTTGTGAAGATTAATTGAGATAGTATGTATAACATGGTTAACATAGGACCTAGCTTATCATAAGTAGTTTCCAATATGTTGTTAATCAGAAGTATTATCACCTATACTTTTAGTCCTTTCAATCCATTTTCCACACAACAGCTGAAGTGCTCTGAAAAATGCAGATCTGAACATGTCATTCCTCCCCCACTTAAAACTCATCTATGCCACATTACTCTTACAAGAAAGTTCAAAACCCTTCATGTGGTCTATAATTAGGACAAGTGTAAAAATAACTAAAGAAAACTTTGTCTTGTCATGTTCTGTTTAGCATTTGCCTCCAAATTTTAATATTATAATGAAGTATTATTATTTACATTAAAGCCAGGCTAGGTTTAATAGAATTCCATTTTTTATTTCCAGCTTTTGTCATGATCTCACCTAGTCATATATGGGAAACATGTACAGTGAACATATTCTTACTTTTCACACATGATTAAATCTAAAGATGACCAGTGATAATTCTTTTCTTTTTCCTGATCTATTCTAGTCTCAACATAACACATCCCAGTCAAGGACAGCTGTGGGACATTTGCTTACAAAGTAATCCAGAAATGATTAGTAAGGGATAGCTGATTTCTTTTGTTCTTGGGTGCTAGTGGAAAAAAATATTCAGTACAACAGCCAGCCTTTGAGATAGTGATTAGTTGTTTGACCTATAAAGTACATGAATCCAGTAGGCCATCAGCTCAGAGAGTCAGTGAGAAATGTGGAAAATTATAGACTATATTAAATGCATGTGAGAAATACAGGTTGAGGATATAGAGAAAGCATAGCATATAGAGAAAAGTCAAGATTCTCACTATAGTAGTTTCCCTGCTAGTAAAAATCTATTACTATTTATTTTATTGTTTGCTAACACTTGTATTTTGTGTTAAACACTTTTAGCAGAAAAGAGGAATAAAAAGCAAAGTGTATGTTTAAGGGAAATTAAATACTGGTTTTCTTTTTCTCAAGAAATTCAATTCATATGTAACTTTCTCAAAATACTTGTTAATATTTACCTATCACCACGAAAGCTGTAGTGATATCACTGAAAACCAGAATACCTATGTCTTGTAAAGAAGCATTTATTTCCAAAGTTACAAATTAATTTGAGAAGTCTATCTGAAAACATTTTAACAAATCCATCTACATAAAGTACATTTGCATATCACTCTTGAATTGTCCTTTACATCTTCTAAATTCTTCTGAGTTAATTTCATGCATTTTTAGTGCAGCGTTTTCTTATCCATATAAAAACATGAAGCACTATCTTTTACTGTGTTCACTCAGTTACCTTACAGTTAAGTAACATCATTGCCATCAGATACTTCAAAGTCAGTTAATTTCAATAATGGTTCAATTTTTTTCATCCAATTAATATAATCAAAGGAAAGCTTTTGGAAGTCATTCTGGCAAAGATGAAACACCTGACATTATTGTAAATACCATTTAAATTACATTTAAAATTTCAGTGTTGAAACAATTCTTTGTTTTTGCATAGATAATACATGTAGTGCTATGGTAAAAAACGTATTTCACAAAGTTCAAATATGAAGGAAAAGATTTTTGGAATTGGTTGTAGTACACATGTAACTCACAACTGTGTCCAAACAAATTGCACCATTTTATCAACCAGAATAAAAGCTGTAGTTGTTAAAATTTACAAAGATTTCTCTATTTATACAATTAGAGTAACTGAACCACGAATTATTTGTAATGAAGCTAACGCTGAATATAAAAAAAACCTTCAGCATAACATTACTTACTATCTTTACTGCCCCATCATCAGATTTAGAACTGTTTGAGCAAAGAACTTTGAAGAACTACTTGTAAATTAATCTAATTATTCTACAAATTGATACTGAATTTTTCTTAAATCTATAAATCAGTGCTCTTTGGACATGCTGCTAGTTCATGAATCCTTTGTAACTGATTCACAACAAGATAAGAAGCTTGTACCAAAATGTAAATCTAAGCACTACGCAGACCGTTTAGATGAGCTGACTTTTTTTTTTTTCATAGCAAGACTTTCTCAGTGAAGTGTGTTTATTCTGGCACAAGCTCCTTATTTTGCACTTTAAATAGCAAAGAAACTAAATATGACAAAATAAATAAACAATATACAACACTTAAAACAAATATAAGTGATCAAATATCCTCACAGACCACAAAATATGATGAATGGGAACAAAACACTGATAACTACAAGAGTGACATCAGCATCTGGCAGAGACAATAAAAACTAATGATAACTTCAAAATGAGCAGCAGTTGAAAGCTCAGCAGGCCAGATTGACAACAGCAGGCAACAACTCTAGTTGTTCAAGGGATTCACAGTCAGGCCTGAAGGGGATGTAATAGTCTAGGCCCTATAATCTCTCCCACTAATCAGCTAAAGATCCCCTTATAGACAGAACCCTACATTGAGGAGAAACTGCTTGGACTAGAATCCAAAGTGCAGGGACAGTAGAAACAAAGGAAAAAGATGGATCAGATAAAAATTGGAGCACTGAATAAAACCAGGAAATCTCTAAAGTAAGTTGCCATAATTTGAACATCTCATTTAAGAAAGAAGAGGAGGATGTTCTAGAGATGTAAAATTTTAATGTTATTATAAACCAAGCCTCCCCTTTAGAAGAAAATTAATTTTACATAAAAAGGAGCAAAAGAATAGGATTATGGTCAAAGTCCATACAAAATTATCTTAATAACAAAGAGGCTAAATAGAGTAATTCCCCTATAGACAATGTAGTTATGCCAGAAAGATATGCCCACAAAATAGATCAGGACTCTAACCTAGTGTTTTAAAACTAGCTAAAAGTTAGTTTAAAAAGATACAATATATGAAAGAAAAACATAAGTTAGAATCAGAAAAACTCAGAAATGAGATGACCAAACTTAAGAAAGAAAAGTTTCAGAAATGAAGACTAAAACATAAGGAGCACAAGCAAGTAAATACAAAAGGTAATACCTTAGAAATAGAAGTCAGAAAGGAGACATTTAAAAATCAAAAAGTGGAGAAAGAGAAGGATTCAACAGTTATGGATAATTATAGAAGACGGGCAGAGAAGATCCAGCATCTATATAACAGAAATTTCCAGAGAAGAAACCCAAAGGAAGAGAATGGAATAAAAACTAAACTATAATCCAAGGACACATTCCTAGAATAAGTAAAATCTGAAACTACATATAAAGGAAAGAAAATCATACTGTAACCAGACTTTGATTTTGAGCTGTATACTCAAGAAATGAAGTTACTTATCTAAGATGTTCAAGGAAATAAAATGTGACTCAAGGGTTTTATATCCAACCAGATTGATTTTCAAGTATGAAAGGACAAATTATGAGTAACATACAAGAATTCAGGGAATATTGTTCTCATTAGCCCTTTCTTAGGAATCTACCAGAGAATAAAATCCGAGAATTAGAATGAGACAGCTACAGCATTGATGGTGAGCAATAATATTAGCAAATAGCAACACTTTATATAGATATATAAATATTTACATATATATAGATAGATCAATATAGATAAATTTGTAGATCTGTGTATCTTTCCTGCTAGATTGTAAACTCTGGGGAGACAGGAACCATGCCAGTCTTGTTCACAGTTGTATTAGCATAATGCCTAGCATATTTTAGAAGCTCGAATTTGAAGGAGTTGAATAAATGTGTTCATAATGGAAGGAAGGAATCTAACACTTATTGATTCTTTGCTTTTTGCCACACAGTATAAAAGGCCTTTGCAGATGACTTTCATCTTTATATCAGCTTTATGATTTAGGTGAAAATGTCCCCCTTTTCACAAATAAAAAAACTTACATGAAGGAACTTGCCCAGGGTCAGATAGCTAGCATAAGTAATAACTGGTCTGTCTGATTCCATTTTCATTTGGCACAATTATAATTAGGACATTTAAAATGACTTTTTAATATTTCACTTTCTTAAGTAAGAAATATCTTTCGCCATTTTGTTTCTATTGTCCTTTCTTTTTGGAATCATGAAGGTAAATTTTAAATGATCACAGATTGAATCTTTCTGCATTCATTTTTCTACAAATATTAGATTAAAGTTTTTTAGTTTATTGTAGTCTATGCTAATGAAGATTTACTCTTTATTAGTGGGAATAATAAATTTGAGTGTTTGTAAATCAGTAATTTTCAGAAATATGTAATCATAAATAAAAGAGCTACATAAAATGATAAATTAATGTGAACTTTTTTATTATTAGCATGTTATCAGGTGGCTCAGATGGTGTGATTGTGCTTTATGATCTTGAGAACTCCAGCAGACAACCTTATTACACATGTAAAGCAGTGTGTTCCGTTGGCAGGTGTGTATTAAAAATGTAATTCATGAACTTATGAACAGTTGAGTGTATTTTACATCAAATGCAAAACATGAAAATAGCAGTCACATAATGTCTCAAGCATATTGTTCAAATGATGTATTTACATGGAAATACCTTGACATTTTCTTACAAATAATAACTGAAATTCAGGTACAGCTGTTTTTAACATGTGACTTCCCCAAAAACACTTGGGTAGCAGTTTGCAAAAGGACTTTGTTTTAAAACTTTTGATTATGTTATTTTTATTCTACACCTACATAGCATACCTCAGTAACTAATTTTAGTTTTTAGTACTACTTAGTAGTAGATTCGCTTGAGTCTTTCAGCTAAATAGAAACACAAATTAGATTTTTCAACTGTTATTAATAGAACAAAAAGATTAACATCTAGAAGCCATAAATGTACTGGCAGTTCCTCACTGAACACACACACCTGTCTTACCTCTCTAACTCAAAGCAGCCTAACTTAACATTCTTCCCCTTGTCTTGGAGTTTTTTTGACTATTCTTTACTAGCTTTCCAGTCTTGAGACAATTATTATTTTTTTAAGTTTCTAAGAAAGTGTTTTGTGATTTTAATTTGTTCATAGTCATCACTTAATTCTTCCTCATCACCTGTGTTTTATCTGATATTGAGCAAATCTGAAATTAACAGAGAATAGGTGTTGAGAAAATGCTTTCAAGGGGAAAAACTTCATGAACATTAATATCAACAATCACTCTATATTAAAGCTCTCTCCAAGGAACTAGAATAAATGTCTAAGTCCATGGAATATTTGTGAGGAAATTTATGATTATTTCTTGGCTCTGTTGCTTTACTTTGGAAGTACAGATTTAGAAAACTATTTCTCTGAGCCTCTGACAAAACTATTTTGTCTTAGAAGAAAATATACTTGCTCTGTCATTCTTGTAAGGTTTCTGTTAGACTTAAATGAAATACTGTCTTTTAAAAAGTACATTAAAAACTGTAAAGCTACTATGTAAATGGGAAGCAATACAGTTATAGGTACACTTGGTACAAAACAAGACATCACTGCAGATACTTTTTAACTTGGTTTCTAAGATATTTACACCATTTTATACTCTCTCTCCATCCCAACCAAAAAAACAAGCAAAAAAAAAATTTAAATTCTAAAGTGTGAGACAGTTATTCATTTTTATCATATTTTATCTTAGCTTAGATTTTAACATTGTTTAGTTTGTTATATAGCAAAATAGTATTTTCATATATACCACATGCATTATAATGTTATTCCTTGAGTGGCTGTGATTTTCTTTTCTGGTGTGTAAAGTCAAGTAGATGTTTAGGGCATCAATCTTACTTTACTATGACTTTTTTCTTAGATTCAAAATCTTTCGTTCAAAAGCATGACTTTGAATGTAAATGGGCATATAGTAATCAGCTTTATAGAATGAGTTAAAGTAGCATTTTTACATCCAAAAATTTTATAACCTAACTTTAAAATATAATTTTGGTAAAAATCTTTACTAGCATGCCTTAGACTGATTCCTGATATTTATTTTTGCTTTACTTAATGTGTTTGTTTTTGAGCACCAAAAAGATTCCTTTCCATACCAAAATTCTTGTTAAATGTGAAAAACAGGTCATACATAGCAGAATAATGTATTTTGACTTGTTTTTAAATTTAAATTTAAAATTAATGAGTTTTTATTTATGATCACTGCGTTAAAGATTTATTTAAAATTGGCAAATCTCTAGATTCTTAGGAACAAATAGAAATCAATTCTATCTTATCTTAAGCAGAAATTTGTTGAAGAGATATTTAGTTTATCACTAAATATACCAGCAGGAAAGTGGGAGAATCAATATAGAAAATGAGTTAAAAGCAAGAGAAACTAGGATAGAGAACACAGTCAGGGTCACACCACAGAAAAAAATGTAGTTTAGGTTCTACTACATGTTACCAACACAGACTCTCAACTCCACAGCTATGAGTAATTGCTAACTATTCCTAGTTTTTTAGCTGGAGTTTCAGAGTCCCAGACAGGATTGATGAAGCCCAGCACACATGTTCATGCCCTGGCTGCCAAGAACAAGGGAAAGAGAATATGTGGAGTCCCTTGCTTTCTGTTACAAGAGGCAGAACTTTGCCTTTCAACAAAACAAAGGGGATTTCCACCAAAAAGGAGGAATTTTGATGCTCAGTAAGAAAAGGGCACATGTCCACTATAATCCACCCATTTGGCTGTCAAGCATCCATATAATCTTCCCATACCTACACCTACTTTAAAAAAAGTTTCAGCGTAACCTAATGGAAGTTTCCATTATTCAACCAAAAATATAATCACTGCCTTCCCCAAAGAGCTATGATCCTGAGTCTATTTGGTTACCACATCCAGGTCCAGTTCAAGATAATGTCTGTTTTTCCACTAGTTTTACATGATCTTATATGAATATTATTCAACCTGTAGTCTCAATTGTATAGTTAGCCTGTATAAAATAATGGAGGTAAGAGAGAAGAAAGAAAGGGGAAATTAGTTAAAATATACAAATGACATGGAAAGAAAGGAAATATGGTTAGGCACTGTGTCCTTTTTTGTAGCTGTCTCAAGGCCAGAACTGGCACTTAAGACTTTCCTTCTTCTTGTTTTTTATTTCCTCAGGCAGCACCACATGTGTTCAAAGTCCTTTACCCTGTATTGTGAGCCAAACCTTTACCTTAAGGAATCACAACTCATGATGATCCCTATCTGTGTAGAGTTGCAGTAGTCTTCTGTTTACTTTTGTTTATCTTATGGGAAATTTTTAACATAAGCAAAATTAGAGAGTAGGATAATGAACTTTGTACCCATCACCCAGCTTTACCAGTCTTGTTTCATCTTTAACCCCACCCACCCACTCTGAGAATTATTTTGAAGCAAATTGCAGAAACATACCATTTTATTCATAATTATTTGTCTCTGAAAGACATAAGCATAACCACACTACCATTATCTCACATATACAATAATTGCTGATATTAAGTATCCAGTTGGTGTTCAAATGTCCCTCCATTGTCTCGTAAGTGTTTCAAAACAGCCAGATTATTTGAATTAAGGTTCAGTAAAAGATACATATACTGTGTTTATCACAGGTTGAGAGCATATACTGCATCCTTCAGAATAGCACATCATCATCACAAGGTGGTATATTGTAGCTGATATCATTACTGAGTCTTCAACAGATCATGCTTTTGTGGGTGATGGGTTACATAAGTAGTGAATCCCATTGACATCTACCAGTTGCATTCTTTAGTTATAGAAGTAAGGTTCTTAATTAGAAGCCTGTGGGACACTATGGAGGTATATGAGGCAACAGTTCTGAGAATGATATTGCTGATAAAATGATACTCAAGAAAAGCAAATCCAAAACCAGAATAGGTATCTCTTCCAGTTAAGAAAAATCATTGTCCCCTCCATGAAGAGGTCTGGTGTAGCTGACTGATCCCTTCAGGCTATAGTACAGAAATAGGAAGTCTTTCATTTTATGAGCCTTAGTAGGAAGTAGGCATCCACATCACATTTTGGAAGCCTGAAGCTAGAGATGCCTAGATATTCTCTTTTCCTAACAGCTGAGACATAGCATGTGACCTAGATTTGGCCACTCATATCTTCCTTCCTGAGACTTCTACTTATTAATATAGTTTCAATTTTGAAACTCAGATAAATTACTTATCTCTAAATTTTGATGGCTGTTTTATAGAAACCATCCTGATGTTCACAAATACAGTGTGGAGACTGTACAGTGGTATCCTCATGACACTGGCATGTTCACATCAAGCTCATTTGATAAAACTCTGAAAGTATGGGATACAAATACGTTACAAGTAAGTACATTAAAACCTTTCCAAGTTGCTTTGTACAATGGAGGAGAACTTAATCCTAAACCATTTTAGTGTGTTACTTGTTAAGATGTTATATATGTTAGATGTGAAAGCAGTATAGTAGTTAAGGAGAGCTAGACTGCTTGAGTTCATATCTTGGCTCTCCTCCTGTCTAGCTGTATGACATTGGACAAGTGTCTGAACCTTTCTGTGTTTATCTGTGAATGGGGCTAATGATTGTACTTTATAAAATGGTTGTGAGGATTAAATAGGTTGATCCATGTAAAGTACCTAGAACACTGCCTAGCAGATATAGTAAGTGCTCAAAAAAAATTAGCTATTATTATTATTACTATTAAAATTTTAAAACTACTGTGGTCTAGTGATGTAAGGAAGAAAATTAGGTTTACTTCCTATTGATCTAAAAACTTAGAGGAAAAGAAAGTTGTTAATATTATAGCTGAGTAAAGATAGAAGACCTAAGTGAAGTGGAGATAAGCAATCTACCCAAGAAAGATTTAAGGATAATGATTGTAAAGATGATCAAACACCTCAGGAGAATGTATGCACAGAGGAAGAAGTTAGAAATTTTTTTCTAACGAAGAGTTAGAAAACATAAAGAACTATCAAACACAGATGAAGAATAATATCATAAGTGAAATGAAAATACACTAGAAAAAATCAACAGTAGACTAAATGATACAGAGGAATGGATCAACAAGCCAGAAGACAGTAGAGAAAATCATTGATGCTGAACAGAAAAAAGAAAAAAGAATGAAAAGAAATGAGTACAGTTTAAGAGACCTCTGGGACAACATCAAGCACACTAATAGTCACATTATAGGGGTCCCAGAAGGAGATGAGAAATAAAAGGGAACTAAGGATATAATTGAAGACATAATAGCTAAAAACTTCCTTAACTTGGGAAGGGAAAAAGATATCCAAGTCCAGGAAGTTCAGAGTCCCATTAAGGATTAAACCAAAGAGGAACACACAAAGACCTACTAGTAATTAAAATGGCAAAAATTAAGGATAAAGGAATAATATTAAAAGCAGAAAGGTTAAAGCAACATGTTATATATAAGGGAAACCCCATAAGACTAAAGTGATAAAAGAGCAAAATCTACAACCAGAAATCTTCTACCCAGCAAATCTCTCATTGAGATTTGATGGAGAAGTCAAAAACTTCAGATAAGCAAAGGCTGAAAGAGTTCAGCACCAGTAAACCAGCTTTATAAGAAGGTTAAAGGAACTTCTCTAAGCAAAAAAGAAAAGAACACCATGAGAAACATTACAGTCATGAAAGGAAAAAGCCTTCGGTAATGGCAAACATAACAGTAAAGGCAGGAAATCATCCAAGCACAAGGCTAGTAGGAAGGTTAAAAGATGAAGTCATAAATATCCACAATAAAGAGTTAAGGGATACACAAAACAATTAGATGTAAAATATGATATCAAAAATCAGTAATCATGAGAGGAGAACAAATGCAAGATTGTTAAAAATGCATTTGAAATTAAGAGATCAGAAATTTAAAACAGTCATATAGAGAGAGAGAGAGACTGATATATATAAACCTCATAGTAACCACAACCCAAAAATCTATAATAGATACACGCACAGTAAAGAAAAAGGAATTCAAATGTAACACTAAAGATAGTCTTCAAATCACAAGAGAGGAGGACAAAAGAGGAAGGAAAGAACAAAACAGACCTACAAAAACAATTAACAAAATGGCAAAAACATACATAACAATAATTACTTTAAATGTAAATGGACTAAATACACCAATCAAAAGACACAGAGTTGCTGAACGGTTACAAAAATAAGACTTGTATGTATGCTGCCTACAGGAGACTCACTTCAGATGTAAAGATACACACAGACTGAAATGAGGGCATAGAAAAAGGTACTCCATGCAAATGGAAATTAAAAGAAAGCTGGTGTAGCAATACTAAAATCAGACAAAATAGTCTTTAAAATAAAGACTGTTAGAAGAGACAAAGAAGGATATTACATAATAATCAAGGGATCAATCCAAGAAGAAGATATAACTATTGTAAATATATATGCACCCAACATAGGACACCTAAAACATAAAGTGAATATTAACAGACATAAAGGGAGAAATGGACTGCAGCACAGTAATAGTAGAGGAAATTAACACCCCACTTAGACAGATCATCCAGACAGAAAATCAGTAAGGAAACACTAGCCTTAAATGGCTCATTAGACCAGGTAGACTTAATATATATAGAATATTCCATCCAAAAACAGCAGCTTGCATATTCTTTTCAAGTACACAGGGAACTTTCTCTAGAATGGATGATATGCCACAAAACAAGCCTTGGTAAATTTCAGAAAATTGAAGTCATATCAGGCGTCTTTTCCAACCACAACACTTTGAGATTAGAAATGAATTACAGAAAAAAGATTGCAAAAAAACACAAACAAGTGGAGGCTAAACGATATGCTGCTAATCAACCAGTGGATCACTGAAGAGATCAGAGGAAATTTAAAAAACCAGGAGACAAATGAAAATGAAGACATGATAATTCAAAACCTATGGGATGCAGCAAAAGCAGTTCTAAGAAGAACTTTATAGCAATACAAGCTTACCTCAGGAAACAAGAAAAATCTCAAACAACCTAACCTTACACCTAAAGGAACTATAAAAAGGGGAACAAACAAAACCCAAAATTAGTAGAAGGAAAGAAGTCATAATGATCATAGGAGGAATAAATGAATAGAGACTAGAAAAACAATAGAAATGGTCAAAGATGGCCCAAATTAATAAAATTAGAAATGAAAGAGAGGAAGTTACAACTGACATCACAGAAATACAAAAGATTGTAAAAGACTACTGCAAACAACTATATGCCAATAAAATGAACAGCCTAGAAGTAATGGACAAATTACTAGAAATGTACAATCTCCCAATGCTGAACCAGGGAAAAATAGAAAATATTAACAGACCAATTACCAGTAATGAAATTAAATCAGTAAAAATAAAACAAAACAAAAAACCTCCCAACAAATGAAAGTCTAGGACCAGAAGTCTTTATAGCTGAATTCTACCAAACATGCAGAGAAGAATTAACACCTAGTCTTCACAAACTATTACAAAAAATTGCAGAGGAAGGCATGCTTCTGAACTCAATTCTGCGAGGTCAGCATCACCCTAATACCAAAACCAGACAAAGATATCACACAGACACAAAAAGAGAAAACTACAGAACAATATAACTGATGAACATAGATGGAAAAATCCTCAACAATATTTAGCAAACCAAATTCAACAACACATCAAAAGGATCATATACCACAGCCAAGTGGGATTTACCCCTGTGATGTGTTTTTCATTATCTGCAAGTTGATTGGTGTGACACACCACATTAACAAATTGAAGAATAAAAACCATATGACATCCCAATAGATGCAGGAAAAGCTTTTGACAAAATTCCACATCCATTTATAATAAAATTCAACAGAAAGTGGGCATAGAGGGAACATGTCGCAACATAATAAAGGGCATGTATGACAAGCCCAGAGCTAACATCATAGTCAGTGGTGAAAAGCTGAAATCATTTTCTCTAAGATCAGGAACAAGACAAGAATGCCCACTCTCACCACTGTTATTCAACATAGTATTGGAAGCCCTAGCCACAGCAGTTAGACAAGGAAGATAAAATAATCCAAATTGGAAAAGAAGTAAAACTGTCATTGTTTGTAGATAATGTGATACTATACATAGAAAATCCTAAAGATGCCACCAGAAGACTACTAAAACTCATCAATGGATTCAGTAAGTTGCAGAAAACAAAATTAATATACAGATATCTGTTGTATTTCTATACACTAGCAATGAACTATCAGAAAGGATAATTAAGGAAACAACTCCATTTACAATCTCATCAAAAAGGATTAAAATACCTAGGAATAAACCTACCTAAGGAAATAAAAGACCTGTACTCGGAAAACTCTAAGACACTGATGAAAGAAATTGAAGAAGAACAAATAGATGGAAAGATTTACCATGTTCATGGATTGAAAGAACTTATATTTTAAAAATGAACATGCAACTGAAGGCAATCTACAGATTTAATGCAATCCCTATCAAAATACTAAGGGCATTTTTCTCAGAACTACAAGAAATAGCTTTAAAATTTGTACAGAAGCACAAAAAACCTCAACCAAAACAATCTTGAAAAGAAACAGACCTGGAGGAATCATGCTCCCTGACTTCAGACTGTACTATAAAGCTACGGTAATCAATACAGTATGGTACTGGCACAAAAACAGATACATAGATCAATGTAACAGAATAGAAAGCCCATAAATAAACCCATGCACTTATGGTCAATTAATCTACAACAAAGGAGGCAAGCATATACAATGGAGAAAAGACAATCTCTTAAATAACTGGTGCTGGGGAGTCTAGACCGCCACATGTGAAAGAACAAAATTAGAACATTTTCTAACACTGTGTACGAAAATAAACTCAAAATGGGTTAAAGACTTAAATTTAAGACTGGAAACCACAAAGTTCCTAGAAGAAAATGTAGGTGGATCACTCTTTGACACAAATCATGGCAGTATTATTTTTTGCATCTGTTTCCTAAAGCAAAGGAAGTAAAAGCAAAATTAAACAAATGAGACCTAATTAAATGTAAAAGCTTTTACACAGTAAAGGAAACCATCCACACACACACACACACACACACACAAAACAACCTACTGAAAGGGAAAAAATGTTTGCAAATGATATGACTAGTAAAGGGTTAATGTCCAAAATATGTAAACAGTTCATACACCTCAACATCAAAAAAAATGCAGAAAACATGGACAGAACATCTGAAAAGACCTTTTTTTCCAAAGAAGACATATAGATGGCCAACAGACATATGGAAAGATGCTCAACCTCATTAATCATGAGAGAAATGCAAATTAAAAATTGAAAATAGATGTAGATACTGACAGGCATATGTAGTATAGATAAATAAGACTATACTGTATAGCATAGGGAAATATACAAGATCTTGTGGTAGCTCACAGTGAAAAAGAATGTTACAGTGAATATATGTATGCTCATGTATAACTGAAAAATTGTGCTTTACACTGAAATTGGCACAACATTGTAAACTGACTATAACTCAATAAATATATATATATACATATATATGTGTATGTGTGTGTGTGTATATATATATATACATACACAAAAAAAACTGAAAATAGAACTACCGTATGACCCAGGAGTTGCACTCCTGGATATATATCTGAAAAGAATGAAAACACAAATTCAAAAAGATACATGCACAGCAGTGTTTTGGTAGCAGTATTCACAATTGCCAAGATATGGAAGCAACCTAAATGTTCTTCAACAGGTGAATGGATAAAGAAGACGTAGTATATATATATATACAATGGAATACCACTCAGCCATAAAAGAGAATGAGATTTTGCCATTTGCAGCAACATGCATGGACTTGGAGGATATTATACAAAATGAAATGAGTCATACAGAGAAACACAAATACCTATGGTATACTTACATGTAGGATCCAAAAAACAAAACAAACTAGCGGATATAACCTAAAAGAAACAAACTCACAGATATAGAAAACAAATTAATGGTTACCAGTGGGGAAAGAGTAGAGGAGAAGAGCAATGTAGGAGCAGAAGATTAAGAGTTACAAACTACTATGTATAAAATAAGGTATAAGGATATATAGTACAACACAGGAATATAGCCAATACTTTATAATAACTGTAAATGGAATATAATCTCTAAATATTGTGAGTCAGTATGTTGTATACCTGAAAGTTACATAATATTGTACATCAACTATTCCTCAGTTAAATAAAAGAAGAAAAAATAATTAGAAGACTCAATATTGAAAAGATACTGATTTTACCCAAAATAATGCATTTCTGATCAAAATCTTTGCAGAATTCTTTTATGGAAATTGACTAGTTAATTCTAATGTATATAGGGCAATACAAAGGGACAAGGCACTCTTGAAGAAGAATAAAGTTTCAGGACTTCACTACCTGTAACCAAGACTTACCATAAATTAATTATACTAATTAAAGCAGTATGATATTGGTAGAAGTTAAAAAAAAACACACACATGCACAGGGGAACAGGGTAGAGAATCAAGAAATACACCCATAGCTGTATAATCATTTGATTTATGGTGAAAGTAACACTGAAGAACTGGGGAAAGGATAGCCTTTTCCATAAATGGTGCTGAATCAACCAGGTTTCCATATTAAGAAATGAATCTTGACCCTTACCTCACACCAGACATAGAAGTCAATTTCAGGTGGATCACAGGTATAAATGGGAAAGATAAAACAATAAAGCTTAAAGAAGAAAAGGGAAAGTGTGTTTGTGGCTCAAGAGAGGTAAAGACACAAAAAGTACAAACCAAGAAGTCAGAGATTGATAAATTGAGCTATGTTAAAATTAGGAATGTCCAGTCATTAAAGAAAGTATAAAGGTAAGCCATGGAATGGGAGGTGATGTATCTGACACATGCATATATTTCAAAAAGGACTGATACACAAATTAATCAACAAAAATTATAACAGTCCTATAGAAAAATAAGCAAAACATTTGAATAGGCACTTCAAGAAAGAGGATAAATAGCCAATAAATGAAAGTGTTCAACTTTATTAACTGTGCACCTGTATATGTTAATTAAATACCTAATGAGTGGGCAGGGATATAGCTCAATGGTAGAGCACATGTTTAGCATGCACAGGACCCTGGGTTCAATCCCCAGTACCTCCATTAAAGAAAAAAAAAACCATAATGAGATACCTCTCCGTACCATGCAGAATGGTTAAACTTAAGGAGACTGATGATAACAGATTGCTGATGAGATTACAGATAGATTACAGATTGGTACAGATATTTGGTATTGACTGAAGCATATGTGCATACCCTCTGACCCAGCAGTTACACTTTGAATATATAAATGCATGCATGTGAACTGAAGGTTATTTATAAGAATGTTCACAGCAACACTGTTAATGATAACCCCAAACTGGAAATACCTCAAGTGTCCATTAACAGCCAATTGAAATCTGGCAAATTTACATTAGAATACTCTCCAACAATGACAAGGGAATACTTCTGTATTAACAAAGTGTATGAATCTTACGTAATACTAAACAAAATAACCAAACACAAAAGGGTGCCTAATATATATCCCTTTGTAGAAGGTTCCAAAATAGACAAAACTGATCTACGGTGATATAGATATGTATGGTAGTTATCTTTCTTGATAGGATTTGTAAGGGACTTGGGGTATTTGTAATGTTTGTAGTGTTCTCTTTTAAAATACAGGTAGTTGTTGCTTTGTGAAAATTCATTTTATGAAAATTAATTGAGCTGTTTGCTTATGATTTGTGTACTTTCCTATATGTTTGTTACACTTCGTTTAAAAGTGGTTTAAAAATTAATGTCATACATTTGCATTTTCTTTCCTTAACATCTTTTAAAACTCTAAGACATCTTGAATTTAAATTTTCTTTAGAACATAAATGTTTTGCTAACTCAAAACAATATTTCATGAGTTCATAATTCTGTCTGAAATAAAGGTATGACAGGATTTTATTGATGATAAATTTAAAAGCATTCAATCAGGAATAATTTATTATGCATCTGCTAGGTATAAAGAAAGCTATGGAAGGCAAAATATTGTCCTCTCCATCCTCTACTCCCATCATTAGTTTTTCCTGTTAATGTATGCATTATATACCTATGATAACTTTATTTCATCTCAGTTTTCCATGAGCATTTTTTTCATCATACAGCTTGAGCATATGATGTCGCATAATGGAATATCTTCTCCAGAGTCTTCTCTATTAAACTTTAAGGTGAAGAGCCAAATGGAGATAATCCAGGATTTGAGCTATACATATCTGGAATCCAAGAGTGTGGTCTAAACTGAAAATATAGATTTGTGAGTCACTAGGATGTAGGTGGTAGTTGAAGAGAAAAGTACTTGCAACAAAACCTTGAGGAAAATGAAAATTAATAGGACAGAAGAAGGAACAACAGAGCCTGCAGGAGTCAATGAAAAGGATTAGCCAAAGAGAGTTAAGAGGAAAATCAGGGGTACGTGATATAATGGAACTCGTAGAAGAGACTGGTTTTAAGAAAGATAGAGTAGTCAGCTGTGTTGAATGCTCCTGACAGATTAAGTAAGGTAAGGACTATGTTTGGTGATAGGAGGTTATCAGTGCTATAGTCAAGGTGGTTGAAATGGGAATAGTGGGGATAAAAGTAAGTTTGTAGTGAGTTGAGAAATACATGGGAGATAAGAAATTAGAGACAGCCAAAATTTGGATTTAAAGAGGAAGAATTTGGGTGAAAAAAAAGGAATTTGGGTGAAAAAACTTTTTTTTGGTCAGGAGGGTGCTGTTAACATTAAAGAGACTTAAACATTTTTTTTGTGCTGATGGGAATGATCCAGTAGAGACTGAGAGGTTATAGATGCTTCAGAGTTATCTGACAGTGCTGAAAGGGATCTGAACAGGTAGGGAAATTAACTTTAAATATGAGGAAGGATCATTTTTTCCCACGATGGCTTGGATGAAGAAGGAAAAAAGATAAGCAAATGAGTTTATAGGTGTGTTGATAAAACTTTAAGAGAATTCTCATTGAATGGCTCCCATTTTCTCTCTTGAAGCAAAGATCAGATTACCTGTTGTGATGAAGCAGAGGTGTCTGTGGAGAGTAGAGGTTTGAAATAGCTGCATATATTGCAGAGAATACTAGTGAAATATTGTAGAACTAGCAGTCAATACAAAAGCCCAGTTGAAATGAATGACCTTTTATAGTGATACCAGTCTGCCCTTTTACAAGTCTGCCTTCACCTGGTGAGGGCAGAGCTCAGCTAACTGCAGCCCATAGGCAAAGTCAAGGCTCTGGGCCAAGTCTTCTCATAGACTCTTTTTGTAAATAAAGTTTTTATAACAGAGAGATGCTCATTTGTTGTCTATGGCCACTTAGATGCTATCGTGGCAGAAATGAGTAGTTAGTCCTCAAAGCCTAAAATATTTACAATCTGACCCTTTACAGGAAAAGTTTGCTGACTTCTGGTGTAGATTATCCTGGAAATAGGTGCACAGAAGGTAGACATTGGGAGTCATTCAGGGCTGAGGTCTTGACGAGTGTGATGACTACACCAAAGGAGCTGAAGATTTTGGCAGTTGAAGTATTGGACCTTGAAATCCAAGCTGAAGACGGAAAAGATGAGAAGACAGGAGGAACTGATAAGAGTTCTGGGCTTTATCTGGGTATCTTAGAGGTAGTTGGGAAAAATAAAAAGCTGAAAATGATGGAAGACTGTGGTCATAAATAACTGAAATATATGATTTCAGAAGAGGGGAAGTTCTGGGTAATAAGAGTGTCCTGGGTGTGGTAGCTGAGGTTATATGGAACTGAGAAGCAGAGTACTGGCTGGATCATCTGTGTAGATGCTGAAGTCCCCCAAAGTAGAATGGAAAGGAAGATGGTGAGCCTGGTGATTATCTTACCTTAATCGCTGGAATTTATTAGACAAAAAAAATTGCTAGCATTACAAAAATAAATAGAAAATTTCTTCCTTTTGTGATTATGATTAGAACTTACACTTTTAAAATGTCTTTTGATTATTATTAGACTGCAGATGTGTTTAATTTTGAAGAAACAGTTTATAGTCATCATATGTCTCCAGTCGCCACGAAGCACTGTTTGGTAGCAGGTTTGTACACGTGTTCTTTTGTTTTTTCATATGAAAACTTTCTCCCTTTTAATATGTAATTCGTTTTGATGTAAACATTTTAACCCAGATGAAGATCACAATTCTTTTTTTGAAACAAGTATATGCTACTGTTTATATTTAGTTTAATAGATATTGTGCAAGTCAGGCACTGTGCTAGTGGCTAAGATTTAAAGATTAAGAAAGCACATTTCTGTTCCCTTGAAAAGTTACTTTTTAAACCACCAAAGTTTCAAAGATTTTACATGAACAAAATTATGCAGTTGTTTCAGTTTGACACGATAAAACAAGGAAATTCTTTCCTTTTCTCTAAGAATGTGTGGTTGAAATTAAACATTCATTTTAATGAAAGCTCCTACAGCAAAAATTTTCATGTATGAAGAAAAAATGTTTTTCTGGCATCGAGTATCCTATAATTTCATTATTTCTATGGCACTGTGTAATCTCCTCACCTCCAAACATCAGTCAGCTGCTCCATCTGTAAAGAGTTTGGGCATTAACTTGTCTTTGAGGTCCACTCAGTCTGTGTCCAGAGTTTCTGTGACTCTATTACTAGTGATTGGAAATATGTTATTAACGTGGAAAAGCTAAGCTATTAAAATAAAATGATTTGAGTGATAAAATAACATAGAATTAAGTACATACATTATACTGATACACATTTCCTGGTTTTGATACTATGCTGTAGTGACCTACCATATAACTATTGGGACAGCCTGGGTGAAGGGTACACAGGGCCTCTCTGTACTATCTTTGCAACTTCCTGTGAATCTATAATTATTTCAAAATTAAATTTTAAGAATAATGTAATGATAGAGCTTTCTTACTAAAGTATAGCTATAAATAATTTTATAATTATAAAAATTAAAAACTAAAGAATATTTTAACATACAATTTTATATTTCTGTGTGATATAGTGAAAATGTCGTGATTCATAATGGTAGTTTCTTGTTTCCTTTTGGTGATGATTTATAATAAAATTATTTTAAACCGTTTTTATTTTTGTTTTTATAGTTGGTACTAGAGGACCCAAAGTACAACTTTGTGACTTGAAGTCTGGATCCTGTTCCCACATTCTACAGGGTATTTTTTTATTTGAAACAACAACTACTTTGAGTAAACCATTCAATAAAATGAAACATTACTAACAATGTATTCTTTGTAAGTGACATGACTGATGTATTTTGTGCTAGTTGTTAAAAGCCAACAGGGAAATAAAGATCCTTCTGTGCATTATTCTTATAAAGCTGAACTATTGAGGAGACATTTATATGAACATTGGCCACAGAGGAAGCTCAAAAGATACAGAATGTCTAACTCAAAACCATGTGTTATTTCTACATTGAGAAAAATAAATTACTTATGAAACTTCTATCAGTACATTTATCTCCATGAGCATTGTTTAACATTGTTCTGGCGAGTAACTGTTCTTAATATTTAGGTGCTTTTATTCTCAGTAAAAATACTTTAGAAAAAGATATTGAAATAATTCTTTGGTAAAGGTATATTAACTTAAATTATTTGTGCTACTTTTCTATCAGTATTTGATCATCTAATTCTAAACAATAGAAAAATGGGATGTAATTCATAAATAACAGTTTTATTCATCTGAGAAACATAATAAATATATTGGGAAAACTTGGTGTGATGGATAGCATTTGTTTTACATTATCATGAATTTCTATTAAGATTAGCTATATAGATGAAAATATCTGATTTGAATAGTTTAATTAGGTAAAAGTGAATTAAAATACTGACATCGCTTATACTGTGAATTTATCACCTGTGCTTTCTAGGTAAAAATGTTTATACAAATGCTTTTTATAATCAATCATTAAAATAATTTTTTTCTGTTACAACTTTCTGAAAAGTTAGAAAATTTTTTTATTCTTTAGAATGTTTATCTTCTATGGTTTGTTGCAGGGATCTTGTTGTAGATATAAGTGAGTGAGCTTTTGAGTTGCATCACTTATTGATGGATTGACTTCCTAGGCGAAGAGCTGTTATTTAAAAAGAAAGACTCACTAACTCTAACTGTTCTTTCCAAAGCAAAACCAGTCCTTTTATAATAAAATACCATGTGTGAAAAATGCTCCATAGATTTCACATTAATACTTAAATATAGATTATTATAAATGTGGGGAAAATGATAATTATATCAATTTATTTTTAATATTTAGTCTATACTTTTTTCATAATCAGTCAAAATTACACTGTATCTTTTGATTTTTCAGATATTTTGCATGTCATTTCATACAGTTGTTTTGCAGGTCACAGACAAGAAATATTAGCAGTTTCCTGGTCACCACGTTATGAATATATCTTGGCAACTGCAAGGTAAAATGCAAATTATTTGGTTTTGAAGTTAATAATTAATGATAAGCATTTTGAAGAGACTTATGTAACATATATATTTAGATGTTAAGTAGGTCCTGAAAAATAAAATAATTGAGTTACAGATTTTAATTCAAATTACCAAAAGAAATCTTCCTTTGCATCATAATCCTAATCATGACTATCCATCTTGAAGGTGCTCACATTTTAAAACAGAAAACAAGACAATCTGTGTAGCAATGCAAATCTACTAGTACTACCCATTAACAACTGTGTTGTGTCATTTTTGCATACAAAAGCATAGCACTCTGTTAATTTTAAGTTAGCATTTTAGTTCATTTTCTTTAATCCAGAATTATTTTGAATCTAATTCAACATATCCATCCACTCATTGATTTCATTTTATGACTCCCAAGGTTTGTGCCAGGGACACAGATGTAACCAAGGCATAGTCCTTCCAGAAGCTAACAGTCTAATGAGGGGGTATAGTCACAAAAATCAATAATTACAGGACATTCTGAAAAGTACTTTGATAGAGGTGCATCTCTGGTAGGTGTAATATGGGGAAAAAGAGCAAGAGCATTTAACTCTTGAGGATGAAGGGATTTGGAGGAGTTTTTTTGCTGGAGGAAAGAGTCTCGCGTATTTAAATGTTGAGGGAAAAGTGAAAAGTACTGGTGGAGAGAAATTAGTGAAAATAAGAAATGGAGGTAAGAATTGGTACATCAGGACCTTGAATAGACAGGAGAGGGTAGTATCAAGGGTCCCACTAGAAGGGGAACACTTGATTAGACACACGAAGGGCATCATGAGACTAAATAGAAGGAGGAAAGGTAAACATGAATATGATTAAATTTGTGGCTGTGGCAGAGAAGCTCAAGAAATGGAAACCTAGCGGCCTCTATTCCTTTTTAGTGGAGTAAAACTTGATGTCATCTATTAAAAATACTGGAATGGGATGCAGTTTTCAGGGAAGGTAGTAAAGATCTGGAATAATAGTTTTAATGATTGGGAGAAGAGCTAATTGGGGGCATCTAGGATTGCTTGGCAGTACTGTGTGCTCTGTTGAAGGTGTAGCCTACAGCTGTACTAAGCCACAGAAACCAAAACATTGAATGACACAGACTTAATAATTGTCTAAAATTGTTGAAGTTATGGATATAAGGAAGGAAATAAAATCACAGAAAGGCTTATAGGAGGGATCAAGGACCTAATGAGATAGCAGGATGAGTGTCAGAATAAGAAAGTTTAAAAACTGAAGGGATAGGAAGTAGTAGTCAAACTTTCATATAGACAGTTTAATAAAACTTTTTGCAGAAGAATTTTTACAGAAGCTATTTAGATTAGTCTTATAAAGATATGTGTCTGGATTTTTGTAGAACTGCCACCCTTCGCTCTCTGTCACAGTTTAGTCCCCAAAGAATCTTCTGTTAATAGTTTGCAGAATGTGATGGTGAAATTTATGATTTCTAAAGGAGAACAAAGTCTAGAATGTAGCCACAAGAGGGCTGGCTAAAATGATGTGAAGGTGAGGAGCTAGGTGCTGGTTGTTGGTCCATGCTAGAGTGGATTCATACTGTTTGTACCTAATTTGGTTTTCCTCAAATCGAGAGGAAAGCTAAGAGGCTTTCAATTCTCAGAGTACCCAGGAATTTGAATCGGTACCAGAATGGACCTAGTAATCAGTTTTAGGGGCCAGATATGTCCAAATCTAATCTGATCAGAAGAGACTTAAGTCTTCAAACTCATTGCAGACCTTTTCTCCAGCTAGAAAGAAAGAAAACCAACTTGAGAATGGGAAATGCTCGCTTTTTCCTGACTATTCTAATTGGCTAGGTTTAATGGTGATCTTTTAAAAGAATCAAGATTATAGGAACAACAAACTTGCTAAGGAACAAAGCTCTAAGCCTGTCTAGTCTTTGTGGAGAAAGATGCTCATGTCATTAAAAAGAACATGGGGAGGTGGTAATAGCTCAGTGGTAGAGCACATGCTTAATGTGCACAAGGTCCAAGGTTCAATTCCCAGTACCTCCGTGAACATAAATAAGTAAGTAAGTAAGTAAGTAAGTAAGTAAGTAAGTAAATAAATAAATAAATAAAAACAACATAAAAAGCAGCAGAATTCTGTCCTTGTGATCAAAATAAGAGTACCTTTTCCCCTATTTTTTTACGTCTTTGTACCACTAATGACTATTTGCTAAAAAAGCAACAGTACTGCCACGCAAATTACAAATACATTTGCACTAATATACTGAGACCTCTTTAAGCCATAATACTGGAAAGATGAATGAGGAGTACAGTCACTACCCTAGCTATATATGTCAATATAACATTTATTTATTCTCAGTGCTGACAGTAGAGCAAAATTATGGGATGTGAGGAGAGCATCAGGATGTTTGATTACGCTTGATCAGCATAATGGGAAAAGGTCACAAGCTGTTGAATCAGGTAATGAAGACTGCATTAATACAGAAATATGATATTATAGTATTTTATATTGAAAATTTTGAATTGAAACCAAATAATAAATGTATGTTGACAAGTTACAAATTTTATTCTTTTTAAAAAGGCATTCACAATAAATCAGTTTCAAAATTTATATCAACTAAATTATGGTTCTCTTTCTTTAAGATACAAATAAATTTGACATTTTTTCTGCCCCTGAATTTTCAAATGTAGAAACTTTTCTGGATTAACTTGTTACCTTTTAGTTTTTCCTCCAGTGAGATCAACTAATACAAATTCAGTGCCATTTAGGAAGTTACAGTACATTAAAGAAGTGGTAACATTTTGTGACCATTTTATCATAATAAAATTTGCAAGCTGTGTTAAATGTGACACAAATCTAGGGGACAGAGTACCTCAATTGCATTTTTACAATGGAATTTAATTTCTGTATAGGTTAAAATTCTGATTCAGAAATAATTTTGGACCAGAAATATATTAGGATGAACCATATAAAACCTATGATTATTTTAATAATATGTTAAATTAAATTAATCAGGCTATTGAGAATTATGCTTTCTCAAATCTGTTCATTTTGAAAGTAATATAAAATTTTGATTGAGACTCGAACAGTTATCTTTAAGTATGAAATACTAGTATTATTTTTAATAGTCATGGAATGATTTTTAAATTAAAAATGGAAATAGTATACAAGGCATTTGAAAGGCATTTATTTTAAAATTTTAGTATTAGGCTTATGCATTTAATTGAGTTTTGGTAGCACAGCTTATTCTCCTAAGGAAAAATTATATTTGGCAAGATTTTTTTCTCTTTTTTTCTGTTTTCCTCTATTTTTATGGTTCTAATTTATATAGCTTATCATAATTCAGATAATCCAAAGGGATTATTAATTTAAAATATGATCAACTCATATATTTTAAGTATATCAGATATTGTCCTTTAGTATGCTTAAATAACTGTATCATCAAGCATTAAGTGTATGCTGGATATAAGAACAGATAAACTGAATTATGTTTTTCCTTGCAGCAAACACTGCTCATAATGGAAAAGTTAATGGCTTATGTTTTACAAGTGATGGGCTTCATCTCCTCACTGTTGGTACAGATAATCGAATGAGGCTCTGGAATAGTTCCAATGGAGAAAACACACTAGTAAGAAATTTTAAATACCTTAAACCTTTTGGGTATAATTAAAGAAATGGATCTATGACATATACTGATGTCTTTCTGTAGATTTAACTTTGTTTCTTGCCTCTAAATCACAGCTTTCTTTTTATAATATTTTTCCATTATGTGAACTAGTAATTCTCAACTCAGGACAGCTCACCCTATCTCACCGCCAGCACATTCTCCCCAGTTAGTGGCAAATCACTGCCCTACTGAGCCACTGTGCATAATGGGAGTATGCCATATCTTTCAAGTATTTCAAGAAGAATAGAAGATTGGGAACAACTGTCATAAAATTCTGAAGTTAAATAGTCAAATTTTATACTATATTTGACCTGTAAACAAAATCCAAAATGAATGTTATAGTACCAAAACATATGGCACTTTAATACTGAAATGAATGCATTTTAAAAGTGCTAGATTCTTATGTGATGATTAATTTTTAGTGCTTTTTTGAAATTTATGTTTTGGTCCTTAGTAGGTTTACCTATAGTTTAGTAACTTTCAGAATAAGCTACCAAGAGCTTATAATTTGATGATAATATTAATAGCCAATGTTTATTGAGAGTTTATGTGCCAGTTACTGCAGTAATAAAATTTAAGATTTAATATATGTGCTGGAGTATAAATATATATGGTCTTGTTTAGTCATCATATCAACACTATGAGGGCAGTGACTGTTACAATGCCCATGTTACACATGAGGAAAATAAGACATAAAATTAGGTGACTTGCCTAAGTTTACATAGCTAGAAGGCGACAAAGTTTGACTCTAGATTCCACTCTTAAAATGCTGATTATATCCACACCCCTTAAAGCATTTATTTAATACCTTAAGCTATGTATTAACATTAATTATACTCCTTTCTTTAATCATCCTTTCTAACTATTTCTCTCTTAGGTACTCTAGGTATCACATTCATCATTAAAAGCTGACTTTACTATAAGGTCAAAATTATTTGTGTTATATTACCTTAGAGTTTGGTAATCCCTCATATTCTATGTGAAATGCTTCTCCATCATATCTTAGGTTAAAAACTCAGGCATTGTGAATTTTAATTTAGAATCTTCAATTTATTATATTGTACCATGCCCCTAATTGGGTCACACTTTCCTGTTTTCATTTTCTTCGTTTGTTTAATAAATATTTTTGAGTACTTCCTATTTGCCATGCAGTACTATACAGCAGTAAATAAAACATAGAAAGCTTCTATCCTTGTGAACGTTACATTCCAGGGAGAGAAAAACAGCCATCCATCAATCAATAAAAGTATGTATAGATGGATGGATAAAATATATATTAGGTACAGTAAGCACTATGAAGAAAAACAAAGCAAGTAAAGGAGCATAGAAAATATGGGGGAGTTGGAGGTAATGTGTTACATAGAGCAGTCAGGCTAGGTCTCACTTAGAAGATGATATTTGGCTTGAAGGAAATGACGGAGTGAGCCATCCAACTTCTGGGAGGGATAGCATTCTAGGCAGAGGAAGGAAATACAAAGACCCTAAGGCAAGAGCAAGTTTGGCATACCCAAGGAACATCTATGTGGCTCTTGTGCTCAACTAGGGTAAGCAAAGGGGAGAAAGAGTAATAGGAGATAAGAAACAGAAGGAACAGGCCCGAGAGCTTATAGGCTTGTAGGCCTTTGTAAGAGCTTCAGCTTTTTCTCTGGGTGAGATGGAAGGCCCCTCAGGTTATGAGTGGAGAAGTGACAGGGTCATTTTGGAAAAGTAGGTTGGCATGTGCATCGAAGGTGAATGTGACAGAAATAGTCTTGAATATATACATAAATTGTTAATGTGATTTGATTCCAATTTTCTCTCCTTAAAGGTAATACTCATACTCTATGGATTTTTGCTAGTAAGCCCATATTTTGAATAGTGTATTTAAAATGGATAATATGTTTTAAAAGGACTTGATCAAAGGAAACGTAATTCATGCCAAATGCCTAGAGTGGCTCAGAAACTCGCCTACAAAGAACACTTAAAGGGATTGGAACATGGATCCCAGAAAAAGTAATTCTCAGGGAACACATACTATCTTCAGATATTTAAAGGGCTGTCAGACAGAATAGGAAATAAATTCCAGTCCTGCTGTTTAGTAATTTGGGGTTATTAGATAATTTAAGGTAAAATCATGAAGGACTATGGTCAGAGTTTTTGTCTCCATTTTGTAAATCAGGATTACTATGTATCTAAATAAATGGTAGTTGTAAGGACAAAATGAAAGTATGTAAAGAGTAGTACTGTGATCTGCTAAGTAATAGGCATACCATAGAGAATAACCATTTTTACCGTACAGAGTTGCCTTAGTAGTGGTACCCTTATTAATTTAAGAAAGATGTGTAAGTACATGTTTCCAGTACATGTGTAATTATCTACAAATTATACACACATGCTGTTTTAAGTCTCTTTTATTAAAGCTTAATTTATTTTTTAGATAAAAATAAGATAGAAATAGAAATTTTCATATTTTCCTCTCACACCTTAATGAACATCTTACTGATTCCTTGAGGTGCCAACTATACTTTGGAGATTATTGCCTTAGAGTAAGAACAATGTACCTACAGGGAAAATTCATAGGCAGCTTTTGGCATAACAAAATTTCAAAATAGTTATTCTCGTGTTTAATGTTTTAGTTACTGACATTATCATTCACCCAGTCACCAATGGCTAGAAACTGAGAGTCTATTCTTTATCCTTCCCTTCCCTTATCCCAGCTATTATATCAATTACAAGTCCTGTTAATTCTTTCTTCGTAATGTTTTCACATCTGTCTTCCCTTCCAGCTTCATTCTGGGCCCTCATGATCTCTCTGTTTAATTACTCTAACATCCTTTTAACTTTTCCCAAATTCATCTCCCAGTGGAAATCTTTCAGTGTTTTTTCAATGAACTTTTCAGGTTTTTGAAACTGAATAGGGGGTGAGCATACAGCTCAGTGGTAGAGCACACGCTTACCATGCACGAGGTCCTGGGTTCAATCCCCAGTACCTCCATTAAAATTTTTTAAAAATTCTAAAAACCTGAATGTTTTTGTCTGTTGTGCACAAGGCCTTCATAAGCTGTACATTGTAACTCACCATCTTTATATCTTGCCACTTTCCCATTTTTTCCCTGTCCTTAGCGATATGAACTACTTAGTGGTCTTCAAATGTACCATGCTCTCCCACCCTTCCATTCTGCTGCACAGACTGCTGCCGTGTGTTACAATACTGTCTTCTTCCTGTCTTAGCTGCTTCTCAGCTTTCAGGATTCATCTCAGACACAGCCTCTCTCTAACTCCTCTAGTCCAGCTTAAATGCTTGCAGAGTACCCAGTACTCACTGGTACTACAGTGTACTATAATCTCAGTTAGTAGAATGAAAGAAAAATAATTTACCACCGTGCTTTTTGATTAGTGCAATGTAGATTCAGTTTCTAATTCTGTCACTTACTAGCTAAGAGACCTTGATCAAAATACTGAACCTTTTTAAGTATTTTTTTGTATAATAATGCTATATATCTCATAGTATTGTTTTGCATATTACATGAAATAATGCATGAAATAATTACATGAAATATTTAGCACATTGTCTGGTACTTACAGCAGATGTTGACATTCAGTAAGTGTTACCTGTCATTATTATTAATTATGCTGACAGTGAAACAAGTTGCCTTGTGATGGAATCTCTGCATCACTGTAGATATTTACTTAGTGGCTAAATGTGTATATTTACTGGGACAATATAAAGGACTCATATGATAAGGAATTGTGTTTGCCATCATCCTATCCCAAGTCTATGAAATCTTCCTCACATATCAAAATCTTTTCAAAGCCTGTACATACCACCTGTAAGACATAGCCAAAAGCAGCCTGTTCCTCTTCAGTACTTTCATAGTAATATATAGCGTGCTATTTGTCACACACTGAATTTTATGGTGAGCATTTATAGTCATAAAATGGGAAGCTTAGATAATCACCTAGCATAGTGTATGACACTAAGCACTAAGTAGATCTCCCCTTTTCTTAATATGTTATTTGAAGTTCATTCTGAAGACATTGAGAACATACTGATAGTTTTGAGCCCACAGGTGATTTGATCACAGCAGTGAGTTATAAGGATTAACAGGACAGTAAGTTGTAAGATGCAGGGGGAGCACCTAAGGATAAAGACAAAGTTTAGTGAGCTGGTTCAATATTTATACTTCATTGAACACTTTCCAGTTCACATTTGGGAAGGAATGTGCTATAGTAGAAAGAACATAGGTTTTGTAGCTAGATGTTTTGATATGTGAATGAGACCATCACAGTCTAGCAGTTCATAATTTTTTCAGGAGGAACAGAGAATTGCCAGTTGAGATTTGTATTTTTTTTTCCATCTACCTCCCAGTGTCATTCTACAAATTGTACACGTAGGATCAAAAGACAGAAATGAGGGAATGTTATACTTTTAAATTATATATAGGAATGAATAAATCTAGGGACTTACTGAATACTTTTATTTCTAGGTGTTCTCATGTATTATTTCATTTTTTTCACAATAACTCTGGTAAATGATGTAATTTCCATTTAACAGATTAGAAGAATGAAACTTAGGTTAAATCATTCATTACTCATAAGAGGCAAAAAAAAAAAAATTGGAAGGTGGAGTGGGTTTCAAAAACCCAAGTCTACTGACTATAAGTTCAGTGTTTTAATGTTTCACTGTACAACTGCTGCAGTGGTATAGCTGAATACATGTGCTCCTTTCTGTCACATGTTAACCTCATGGGTAGGTAAGCCAAGTGTAGTATCCACAGATTATCAGTATTATCCATTTGAGCCTCAGTGTCTGTTTATACACACATACACATGCACATTCCCACCCAACCTTTAGAAAAAGAGAAAAAGTCAAATCAGAATTAAAACAGACAGTGAGTCTGTTTAAACTCCAGTATTTGCCATAGTGAAGGGAGATAATGATCTGCATGCTCATAATTTCCAAATGATTAGAGACTGGCTCTACACCTACCCTAAGCTGCTTATCTAAATTATCAGCAGGAAGTAAACCTGTCAATTTCTTTAGTCCAGAGCCTCTCAGACTTTGATGAACCTACCGATCACCCCAGGGATCTCGTTAAAATAAAGATTCTAGTTCAGTAGATTGGAATAGGGCCTGGAATTCTGCATTTCTACCTGCTCAGGTATTGCTGATGTACCTTTGGCATGCGGGGTGCAGAATTTTTATTTCTGTCCAGAATGCATAATTACTTACATAAAGCTAAGCTGTTTGTATTCTTTTTTTACACTTAGCTTTTATCCCTATTTTCTGTATAATGTTTATACTTAAGTTTTTTAATTGCTATATAAACTGTGGACTTAATTTAATATTATTAGGAATTTATATCTATTCTCAGGTATTTTGCCATTCTAGATAATACTGCAGTGAATTCCTCTGGGTATATAACCTTTTGCTTTTTAGTTATTTCCCTAAGATAAATTCCTAGGAGTAGTTACTAGGTCAAGGAGTAAGACTCTTCGTTGTTTAATGGGTATAGACTTTCAGTTTTGCAAGATAAAAAAAATGAATGGTGGTGATGGTTGCACAACAATGCAAATATACCTCATGTCACTGAACCATACACTTAAATATGGTTAAGATGGCAAATTTCATGTTATGTGTATTTTGCCACAATTTAAAATGTTTTAAAATAAAAAGGTTACCTTCCTTCCAAAAAAAAGAATATCTTTATATTTTGTTACGTAATAAACCATTTGGCCTTTTAGAAGGAATGATCAAGTACCACCTACTTGTTTACCTCACTTGTATTGAGTGTCTTATGGTTTCTTAAAATTTTTGCTGAATGGTCTAAAATGATTCTTCAAGATTGCCTTAATTTGCATTTTTATTTCAAAGTTGAAATGTGAACCTTTGCTTTTGTGGGCTTTTTTTTTTTTTTACTGTTTGTATTTCCCTTTTACGTGAAATGTGTATTTATGTCATTGGCCCATGTTTCTATTAGGACATTGATCATTTTCTTTAGACTTACTGGAGCCATTTCTATAGTATATTGTAATATTTTAAGTAAATATTTTTCTAGTCTTTGTTGTCTTAAATTATATTTAAGTCTCTTTTTGATTTTTACATCCTACAGGTGAACTATGGAAAAGTTTACAATGACAGTAGAAAAGGATTGAAATTCACTGTCTCCTGTGGCTGCAGTTCAGAATTTGTTTTTGTACCATATGGTAGCACCATTGCTGTTTATTCAGTTTACTCAGGAGAACAGATAACTATGCTTAAGGGACATTATAAAAGTGTTGACTGCTGTGTATTTCAGTCTAATTTCCAGGTAAGAATGATATTTAAGGGAATTTAAAATGTTCAGATAGCTAGCTTGCTAGAGTGATTGTATATAAAAGAGTACATTGCAATTTCGTTCTAAGGAATTATACTTCTTATCCACATTTGAGCTAGGGTTTATTGAATAAAGGATAATAGAAGGTATATTTTTAGGTGGCATAGGATGTCTCTATGAATCAGTATAATACTGTGCAACTTGACTGGGATAAATTCTTTTGCATATGGGCTCCATTTATTTAGCAGTTGAAAATCTCTGGCAAATTAAAATAATTTCTTGCCCACAAGCTTTTGGGGGAAAAAATGGACATGTATATCTAATCTGAAAACATAGTTTGTGTATTTTGATTGTCTGCAATGTTGTTTGTTTTTTTAATTTTTTGCCAATGGCTAATAAGTTTGCCTTTGAGTTGATCCAGCTTACATAATTTAAGTACCTATGGTTTTTGTTTGTTTAACATCCTAACCTTTCTCTTTTATCACACCAGTGGAGCAGATTGCTTTTTCCACAGAATATTTGCACAAATTACATCATAGGCTCCTTTAAATGAATCTCAATGTAGTAAGATTGTTGATATTTTCTGTGTATTGCAGATAAGGAAAATGAGGCTCATGAAAGTTAAATACTAAAAGAATGAAAATTATGGGTTCTTAGAACTAGGAAGGACTTTTATCACCTTATTCATTCATTCATTAATACTCATTACTTAATTTGTGTTTGACACTGTGAAGTAAAATATACAGGGCTGGTTTTTCAGCCAGCACACCTCAATATGGTAGTATCCGTTATTAAAGTATTCAAATAC